CTCCTATCATCGGCCCTTACCCTGGCATCCGCTATTTAGCTGCATATCCTTTTATAACGAGGTGAGTAACCTCTTAAATCGATTGCAGCGCAATTTCTCGACGCGCAACAGTTACGCATATGGACCACATGACACAATCCTTCTTCTTGAAATGCAGTCTCATTTTTTACGTTCCTATGCTCAAACAATGCAGGTGGATATGTCGTGTCGGGAACGCGCTACTATTTTGACAATCGGATAGTTGGCGACGTACGTGCCGTGGGGCCAGATGCAATGAAAGAAGACTACGGTGTGAGGGACAACAGCAGAGAGCAAATCGAAATGTTGCAGGTAACTTTTTTACTAGAAGAAAACAACGAAGGTCCGATTGCGCTTGAAACACAGAGAGATCTGTTCTTCGAAATTCATTACGGCAGTATTTGCTCTGAGTGATACTTGTGATAAGAAAATTTTGAATGTTACTTTGGAGTTTAAAAGATGGTCAGAGATTACAGTACCCGAGGTGGAGAAAACGGGCGAGGAATTTTTCGAAGGATTCTGTTCCTTCGAACTCTGCAAGAGAACAGGGGAGCACATGCACGACGGCTGGAAAGCAGAGTAGTTCCGAAGGTAGTTCTGAATGAACGTCGAACGGTGGTCTCAAGTAAGGTCAACTCTCCATTCGAATGATGAAATCGCATTTTTCTCACTACATAAACGGCAGCGGGTGGCGAGGGTTGCAGTGTGATCGACGGCTGCAATTCAGTAGCAGTTAGAGCCCTAACTGCACATTCAATGCAACGTAGGTGACACGACCCGTGTGACTACGGTCCACAATCAATCGTCAACCTATCAGGGGGAGAGCTCTCGATGCTCGATACGGACCATCAACTACCACCATCAGCCTTAGAACCCCCGCGATCCCCCATCCCCCTTCTCCGATTAATATCCGCACCAGAGGGGTGAATTGGTATCATGAAGCGGAAAATCCACTAATTTGGCCTTCTCACTTCTTATGTAAAACCTTCACCAAAAAACACAACTACTCCTCTAAACACCTCCGTCAACCTCCTCTCCAAAATGGACTCCCCCTTCCCGAGATCGCAAATGTGACTACCTCGTTCGAAAATCCTTCCGACGAGTAGAGTGGAACTGTCCACTGAGGTTGAAGATGTCCCGTTTTTCGGGCTTGAAAGTGCATTGCGGGGCGTTAGGGCCTTGCTATCACCACAGCGACCGCTTTCGTTGTTCCACATTGGCAACGTGTGCATATGTAAGCCCTCTCATCAGTGCTCTCCCGACTTCCTTTCTTTCCCGCGCTCAGAGTCTTAATATATTTGTACAGCCGAATCATACAAAAATCAGTAAGGCTCATACTTGAGCGTTCAGACAATTTTTTCCTTTTTCTCCTTCACTACCGGTCCACTTTCCACCCTTGCCTTCATTTTCATGTGTAAAAATTATAGCAATACGATTTAGGGGTGAATTTTAACATTTGTATTTCAGCGCCGCTTCATTTCAGGATCCTGCTTTTGCGGTTGAGGTGGAGCTGTCACGTCTGAAAATGCCGAAGCCGACGAAGTACTACGCTCAAGAAGGAACAAAGCTGTACAAAAACAAGGATCTGCCCATGGTCTGAAAACAAATTTACTGTTGAGATCAAACAAATCGCCTGATTTTTTTTTGAGAAAGAAAAGCAAGAAAAATGTAAAATCCCTGCTTTTCAGTTTCACGAGTCTGACCCATTATCCAGTGTGTCATTTAAGCGTCTTGGTGATCGGTTATTCGAACGAAGAGTCACCGAAATTGGCGGAAAGAAGGTATAATAAAGTAGCGTACATAAATTTGGCCTTAAATTTCGTGTGCTTCTTATATTGCCCCAGCGCGCGGTTGCAGAGCGGTTGAAAATGTTGAAATGCTAAGACTGCTAGGAAAGGGGCGACGGATTTTTGGCGTGTGGATCATCTGCTGTTCTGCGGAGCTGGAGCTGTGCGCCGATCAAAGTCCCAAAGCAGAACTCCTGCGTTTCTGCCCGCAAATAAACTGTGAAGTTGTGGACCATCTGTTGGTCTTCAAAGCTGAAGCTCTGAGACCACTGGTTCTGATAATCCCCCTTTACAGTGATTAGGATAATTCGGCTGGATGAATGAATACAGGGTGGGGCAAAATCACTGGTGCACTTAGATGTACCAGATTTTTTCCAAGTCATCGAGTAGATTTTTCCGCTCGATTCTCTCGTGATTTTGCTTGAACATGCCAATAAATGGGCACTCATTACAAAGTAGTGCCCCCTCAACTTTCCAAACGCTGTTCAAATAGCACCCAAATTCGGTATTTGTTCAATACCATGGGCGTGTCTTCGATTTGGAATAAGTTACGGGTGAATTCGGCTAAGCTTAAGCGGGCGGTATGTGGGTGCCCGTATGTATGAACACTCACAGTAGATCTCTAGCCGCTACATACTGGCACCACTGACCAACTTTACTTCAATCAGATGGGCTGCCTTCTAATTATAAACCCCGCCTTCAAAATTCCTTTCAGGTGACCGTTGAACTGGGCAATAGACATCTCCACGGTGTCGACCTGATGGTTCGGCCAGGTTCAGTTGTTC